AAACCCTCAACCCGAAACTGGCGAGGGCGCCGCTGAGCATAAGCATGGGCGCCCCCCCTGGCGTGCCCCTTGCGGCCTGGACTTAGCTGCATCTTACACGACTATACCGGCCTTGATTGGCCCCTGCTTTTTGCGGCCAGGGTTTAAGCAGGGGGGAGGGGCGTGGCATCATAGCAGCACAGAGCACCAGTGAGCCACCCTGAACCCGAAACCCGAAACCCTAAACCCTAAACCCTAATCCGAAACCGTAAACCCAAAACCCCCAATCCGAAACCCGAGCCCCCAAAGACTCCCGCAAACAAGAAACCCAAAACCCTGCAGAACCCTGAACCCTAAACCCTAAACCCGAAACCCGAAACCCTAAACCCTAAACCCTAAACCCTGCAGCTCCTGCTTCTTCTTCTCCATCTTGTCCATCGCCTCGTTGGCCACCTCGGGCTCCAAGGGTTAAGGGTTTAGGGTTTAGGACTTAGGGTTTAGGGTTTAGGGTTTAGGGTTTAGGGTTTAGGGTTTAGGGTTTAGGGTTTAGGGTTTAGGGTTTAGGACTTTGGGCCATCAGGGTTCAATCTTGGAGGGCTTTAGGGCTTGGGGTTTGGGGTGCTGGCTTCGTACTTAAGGGGTCCAGGGGCTTAGGGTTTGGGGTTCACGGTTTAGTGCTGTAGGGGTTTAGGCTTTGGGGATTCAGGGTTGAAGGGTTTGGAGTTTGGGCTCTGGAGTTTCAGGAGTGTGCTGCGCGTAACTCTTGTTTGGAGAGCCTATTCCTGGCTGTAACAGAGTGTAGTAGTGTCCTCTAGAAGGTACGCAGCCTTGTCTGCCCCTCAGAAAACCAGAATCTGTCCCTTCTCTGCAATATCGTCTCTGTTGGGGTCCTGATTATGAGGCGGTCATATTTAGGGTACCCTAAAAAAGGGACCCTAATGTAGAGAACTGACCATATCTGCAAGGCTGGCATCTACACCCACCCTTAGTCGTCTAGGGTTTAGGGTTTAGGGTTTAGGGTTTAGGGTTTAGGGTTTCGGGTTTAGGGTTTAGGGTCTAGGGTTTAGGGTTTCTCCAGCCGTGCCAGGCCTTGCCCAACAGTTTCTTCGCCTCGCCCTGGGAGGTCAAGGGGTTTAGGGTTTAGGGTTCAGGGTTCAGGGTTTAAGGGTGTAGGGTTTGGGTGGACGTGTGTCGGGTTGGGGTTGACGTGTTGGTTCGGGTTGTAGTGTTTTGGGGCGGTTTGAATTCTAAACCCAAGACCCTAAGAAGCGTTTCGGGTTGGGGGGTTGAGCGGTTTGAGGCTTAGGCTTGAAGTTTGAAGTTTCTGGGAGTCTGCCGGGGCTGAACAGCCTGGGGCTTAGGGTTTCGGGTTTAAGGCTAACTAACCCGGACCCCGAAACCCTGTCCCTGAACCCTAAACCCTAAACCCTAAACCCTAAACCCTAGACCCTAGACCCTAGACCCTGAACCCTAAACCCTAAACCCTAAACCCTAAACCCTGAACCCTAAACCCTAAACCCTAAACCCTAAACCCTAAACCCTAAACCCTAAACCCCAAGCAAAAGGCCTCGACTTCGCCGTCCGAGCCCATGTCCTCCTGCTTCCGGGCCATGCTGCTGCGCGGAAACTGGCCCAGGTGGTGCGGCGCTGTGGGGGTTTCGGGTTAGGGCTTAGGGTTTAGGGTTTAGGGTTTGGGGTTTGGGGTTTGGGGTTTAGGGTTTAGGGTTTAGGGTTTAGGGTTTGGGGTTTAGGGTTTGGGGTTTAGGGTTTGGGGTTTAGGGTTTAGGGTTTAGGGTTTCTTGGGTTCTTGGGTTGTGGCTTTAGGCGTAGAGTTTTGGCTTCTTCTCCGTTTGGGGAGTTTAGGGCTCCAGCCGTCTGGAGCTTGGTTCAACTTGACGTTTAGGGCTTCGGGCTTGTCGTTTAGGATGTAGAGGTTTAGGGTTGAGGGTCCAGAGTTTAGGGTTTCGGGTCTCCGGTTGAGGGTTTAGGGTTTCGGGTCTCCGGTTGAGGGTTTATAGGGTTTCGGGTTGAGGGTTTAGGGTTTAGGGTTGAGGGCTTAGGGTTTAGGGTTGAGGGTTTAGGGTTGAGGGCTTAGGGTTTAGGGTTGAGGGTTTAGGGTTTAGGGTTTGGGGTTTAGGATTTAGGGTTGAGGGTTTAAGGTTTAGGGTCCACCGGACCTTTCTTTGGAAGGGCTCCGTGTTCGTGGCGGCACCGATGACGTCGGGATGGAGCCCCTTCCTGGGCGCAGCGCTCACCCTAAACGCTAAACCCTAAACCCTAAACCCTAAACCCTAAACCCCCCCAGACTACGATCCTGAGAGTTTAGAGATAAAACACAGCTAAAGCACAGAAACCCTACTAAAGGCTAAACCGTCAAACCCTAAACCTATACCCGCACCATACCCCTAAACCCGAAACCCTAAACCCGAAACCCTAAACCCGAAACCCCAAACCCGAAACCCGAAACCCGAAACCCTAAACCCTAAACCTATACCCGCACCCCTCAACCTCTTTTCGCCCAGCAATGACCTCCGGGGCCCGCACTCCAGGAACCTAGCGAGGCAGACGGGCTGGAGCCGGTTGTGAGGAAGAACTCTTAGGGCTTAGGGCTTAGGGCGTAGGGTTTAAGGATTAGGGATTCGGGCGTAGGGCTTAGGGTTTAGGGTTTAGGGTTTAGGGTTTGGGGCTTAGGGCTTAGGGCTTCGGGCTTTGGGCTTAGGGTTTAGGGTTTAGGGTTTAGGGTTTAGGGTTTAGGGTTTAGGGTTTAGGGTTTAGGGTTTAGGGTTTAGGGTTTAGGGTTTAGGGTTCAGGGTTTGGGTTCAGGGTTTAGGGGCATGGGCTCTGAAAAGGGGACCCCTTATATACCCCCTATAGCACCCTACACATCATCAGCCTTGAAAGGAGGTAAGGGGCGACATTCAAGGACTGTGTAACTACCCTTAGAAGGCCCCTAGGCCAGAAGCCCTCAGGGCCGCAAGGGCTTTGAAAGCTTTAAGGGTGTTCGGGGCTCATTCAGAGGTTCAGGGGAGGGCTCAGGGCATAAAGGGCCTTAAGGAAGGGGTTTAGGGGCTTCATTGAGGATGTCTAGGGCGCTCAGGGCATAGGGTTCGGGGAACCGTAAGAAAAAGCCGGCCTCTTCTTGACCCTCAGCATGATGTCCTCGTACTGCTCATCCATCTCTTTCTGGCAGCGGTGGACGGTGGCCGTAAGCCATGAACCCTAAACCTTAGACCCATATGGGGGTTTACGAAAATTAATAGGGAACCTAGACCCCCAAATTGTAGGGTTCCCTTATCATAAGGACTGCAATAAGGTACCCGAATTTGGGAAACCACCAGTCCATGTTTGGATCAGGGGGTGCATATAGGGGAAGAGGTGGGGGTGTTTCGTGCCAAGGTGCCCGTGGGGTTGAAACGGTTGCTTTCGGTTTAGGGTTTCGGGTTTTTGCTGTACCATGTGTGGATGTTAACGGCGGCATAGATTTCACCACCGGGAACCCAAACTACAATCAGTCACAACCCACGTACTTGCCTAGAATGGATGGTTTCTGAATATTTCACATTACTAGTCTCGCGTAGATAGATTGAATATGGTATGCCAAGAGGAGGGAGAGAGAGCGGGAGAGAGACAGACACCGCAGATTGCAAATACCAAAGCATTCAAGATACCCAAAACTGACTGCATTCATCGCGTATGTATCTGCGCGTCTTTGTGCTAGAGGAACATGAAACCGAAAAACCCAAAGACCCAAGAATCCATTCAGAGGTGAATGGGGGTCTGCAAGGAACGTGAGATCTGGAATGAAGACCAACAAGATTCACACGCCGAACTCCCCCAAACCTTCAAGCGAAATCTTAGGGTCCATCATTGCCCTGAGGCGAGGATTCTGGATTCGAGGCCGTCATCTTTTGCAAAGAAAACGGAATCTCCGAATCCCCTCGGTCAACGCCAGCCTCTAGTTGACCCGGAACCCTGGAAACTCAACAGACAGCCCTCAGCCCGAGCCCCCACAAAACGCAGGCAAGTGTAAACCCGTAAAGCGCGCTCTAAAGCCCCGAAGGTCCGAAACGGGAAATTCTCCTCAACCCTGAACCACAAACCCTAAGCCGTAAACCCGAAACCCTAAACCCTAACCGTAGACCCTAAGCCTTAAACCCTCCCAAAAGCCCTTCAAAGCTCGGCTCGGCCTTCAGCCGATCCACCTCTCGCTCCCTCTCCTTCTCCTCTGCCTGGAGGAAGGGGCTTTGGGGTGTTGGCTTTAGGGGTTCGGTTTCAGGGTTTGGGGTTTGGGGTTTGGGGTTTGGGGTTCAGGGTTGCGCGCGCCGGAGCAGTGTAAGGGTGTTAGGGTCCTGGGGCCTAGAGGAAACTTGGCCATCGCGACTAACCTCCCTGAGGATCCCTTCTGACAAGGCTGAAGCCGCCCTAAACCCTAAACCCTAAACCCTAAAACCCTAAAACCCTAAAACCCAAAAACCCTAATCCCTGAACCTCCCCTGAACCCCAGCCGCCGGAATTTTCACGCTGCGCGGTGGGACCGTGCCTCCCTCTGTACATCTGCACCGGCTTTCAGGTTAGGGTTGCAGGGTTGCAGGGTTGCAGGGTTGCAGGGTTCAGGGTTCAGGGTTCAGGGTCCAGGGTTCAGGGTTCAGGGTTCAGGGTTGGGGTTTAGGGTTTAGGGTTTAGGGTTTAGGGTGAGGGTTCAGGGTTCAGGGTTTAGGTTTTAGGACTGAGGGCTTAGTGCTTCGGGTTCAGGAACCCCTCCCTTGCGACCAGGCGCAGTTGCAGCGAAAATGACACTCAGCCTCGAAGCACAGCAAGCTTCAGGGATGCGAAGTTTGCGCTCTCGTACTGTACAGATGTGGCTAGATCGGAGGGTCGGCGGGAACGGCTGCGCACGACCCAGATCCACAAGAGGCCAGCTCCCCTTTTAGGGTTTTTAGGGCTTCTGGAACTTCGGATTCAACAAAGGACCCCGCAGAATTCTCCTCTCAAGCTGATGCGCTGCCATGAGCACCCTGTACTCAGCGCTTGCGGCGGCGCTGCGTCGTCCCACGGGAGACCTGGCAGGCACAGTTTTGGGCTTCTAGGGTTTAGGGCTTAGGTTCAGGGTTTGAGGTTCGTGGATCGCCCTAAACCCTCAAACCTCAAACCCTAAACCCTAAACTCCAGTCTGGAAACCGCACCAAGCCTCTGGGCGCAAGCGTCGTCGCTCCAATTCATCCAGCGCATCCTCCTGGTCGTCCGCATGGCGAGGTAGGTAAGCGGGTAGGTAGGGGGGAAGGTAGACGGGTGGGAAGGTTGAGGGTTTAGGGTTTGGGGTTTTGGGGTTTAGGGTTTAGGGTTGAGGGTTTCGGGCTTCGGGCTTAGGGATGAGGGATGGGAAAACAAGACTAAGAGTACCCCGAAGGGCCCACAGAACCCCTTAGTAAAAGGCAGTTAAGGCGGCTTTACACTCCACCCAGACCCCTAAAACCCGTGTTGACCCCGACTCCTCTGCGACCGGTGTGAGGATCTGGAGGGTAGCCTGCGGCAACGTGCCGCTTCGGACTACGTAGTCACAAAACATGTGTGGAGAAAACGGCCGAGGAAGCAACATGGCTCGGAAGTTCCACATATCTCTGCGTGCAGACGTCGGCCGATAATATCGTGCTAAAAAAAACGTTGTAATGTGCGTTGCTTTTTGCATCGGGAAGGGAGTCGAGCAACAAGGAGCTGACGCATGTGGAGAAGCTGCAGAGAACTCCGCAAATCTGGGGAGCGGGGGCGGGAACATGGAGTGATTGCATATATATATATATATAAATAGACAGACAGACAGACAGACAGAGAGACTGACAGACAGACAGAGAGAAAGACAGAGAGAGAGAGAGAGAGAGACAGAGCGAGCGCTTGAAATTCTTCAAATAGATGGGTTTACTGAAACTAGCTAGTTAAGTCAACTACACTACCAAAACCTCATCTAGTGTAATTGCGCATGGAACCCCGGATTCCAGCCACGGTAAGTTCACAACTCATTCATTCCGATTTCGTTGACTTAGGTCAGTCAATGAACTCAATTCACCAATTTCCCCAGGGCTGGAACATCCCAACTAAATATGTGCCATACATTTTTAACTAAGGCCAATGAAACTACATGATTCCAGAACACTGATTTCGGATTCGCTTCATTCGAACACTTGAATTCAAGCCAAAGAAATACATTCTGTCCAAAAATTGACTTTGTGATCTAATTCATCAATTCGGTTCTCGTGGCTTCTTAGAACAAATTTAATTCCGAAAATGGATTCTCGAACATATTTCAGGTAATAATGTAAGTGAGAAACATTCATTGGCAACTATCTCAATGGAACGAATTAGGCTGCAATAGTTAATCTACTCCATTTAATTTTCCGGAAATCATAGGTTCAGCTGCGGAAATAAACGAATCGAGCCAGCTATGCCCGAAGATAACATTTCTGAAGCAACTCTTTTGACTCCATTAAACAAATTAAACGAAGTAAACTATCTAAACTGATTAGGTCCAAATTCCATTTGCGGAAGTGATTGACATGATGAACTTACTTGGCTTTGGCTAAACTACGTAGATTGATAATATCTCCGTATATATGTATGCATGTATACATGTATATATGTATATATATAAGTGTATATATATATATATATATATACAAGCGCGCGCATGGGGGTTTGAAATTGACATGTATAAGCACCGATATGATATACTGCAAATATGCACATCATCTATCTCTGCACACCGCCCTTAGGGCACATTGCACATTGCAAAGTGCCACCAGCCGCTACTGAGTCCCACACCTTCTGAGCCGCCACCCGAACAAATGGCGGTATTGGCACACCTGGAGGTATAAGCATGCAAGAAGCACAAGAGCATGCAAAACTGACCCAGACCCCTACACCCTACACCCCCCTACCAGCACAAGGCCCTAACCCTAAACCCTCGAAGCCTAAACCCCACAACCCTAAACCCTACAACCCCAAACCCTTTCCAAGCCCTTCCTCGAGGCTTGCTAGAGCGCTCGGCGTGCAGCCGCGCTCGTTCGGCCCAGGTTGGGGTCTTGTTCTCCTCAGGACAGACGATCACCGCGCCAGTCTCCTCGACCCCGCGGGAAGAAGAGGTTGCCGTTGGGATGTTCCAACTTATACTACCAGTCCTTAGTAGGGATTGTAGTACCCCCGATTATAATCCCTATTCAGGACTGTCAGTATAAGGGGGAACATTCCAGGGTTGCAGGGGCTGAGGGTTTTAAGTGAAGGAGCTCACAGCACAGATGTGCGAGCCGCTTGCTGTTCGAACCCGTTCCGGCATGCAGGTCAGCTTCGTTCTTGCAAGGATGCGACACTGCGGCGGTCTAAGAACCATGAGCACGATATTTGGGCGCATCAGAGCAAACCCCATGAACCGCTGCCCTTTGCTAAGAAACAGGCGCCAAGCCAATAAAGAGATAACTGCCATGAGCACCAGAACCTTCATGCAGAGATATGGAGGGGGGTCCTCATCACATGCCCAGTTGGGTTCGCCGACGTCCAGCCAGGAGGACAGCGAGACTGTGTCGCAATCAACAAAGTCATCCAACGCTTCCGGAAGCGAAGGCCACTCAGATCTGAGCTGAGGCTTGGGGTCTACCATAAACCTCATCGGGTGGAGGGTCTTGCATGGGCGAAGAGGTCATTTGCACTGGCACTCCATATGTTCATCACAACCCCCCGAATTACACCCAAACTGAACCTCTCAATTCCAAACTCCAGACCCCGAAGCCCCTACACCCTAAGCCCTTAAGGCCCCTAAACCCCTAAGCCCCTAAACCCTCTTTGGGAGGCCCGGGCCCGAGGAGACAGGGAGGGGCCGGACCGCTTGGCTCACTTTGCAGATGGACTGCCACCTCTGGCGACTGACCTCTGTTGGGGTTTAGGGTTTAGGGTTTAGGATTTAGGGTTTAGGGTTTAGGGTTTCGGGTTTAGGGTTTAGGGTTTTAGGGCTTAGGGCTTAGGGTTTAGGGCTGGTGGGGGTCGAGACATAAAGGGCTTTAGGGTTTTGGGCTTTGGGCTTAGGATTTTGGGCCCACTGCTGCCCGAATCAAAAACTTCCGATCTTCAGCAGTCTGGGGGCGTTCCTGATAGCTTTCGAGGCTGTGATCCTCCGCACTCGAAGAGTCCGCACAGAAATCCCAGGTCTCGGCCGCTTCCTCGCATGTCAGGTGTGGGGGCTCAAGGCGCGGGGTTTTGGGGGTTTAGTAGCCCTCAGACACTTGAACTTCCGGAACCCCCGAAACGAGGTTCTCTGTACTCCCCTACGGGGGAAATAAGGTATCCAACGGGTGGATTTTCCTACCACGAACCTGTCAGTCGTTAGGGGTTTAGGAGGGTTCAGGGTTTAGGGTGCAGAAGAGGCTCCAGCGGTGCCTTGATTCCCTTCCTCGAGAGGGCACCTCCGGCAGCACTTCTTAAAGCCAAAGAACCCCAAGCCCTAAACCCTAAACCCTAAACTCTAAACCCTAAACCCTAAACCCTAAACCCCGAGCCCTAAACCCTAAACCCCCCTCCACATGGCCCTGTAAGCTTAAAAAACCCTCACCTCCAAACCCTGAACCCCTTAAAGGATCACGTAGAGAACGCAATCCCCGAATGCCCTGGCTGTGACGGAGCCTGGGCCAATCATGACCTCTGGCAGATCCTCGCAACAGAGGCTGGGACCGGCAGGTCCGTGCCGGGAGTCCTCCGCTGCCTTGGTTCAGGTGCAGTCCTTAACCCGAAACCCCAAACCCCACATCATCCCTTCTACACACTGCGTCCCCGAGCAACCTGGCAATTCATAGGTGCCAGTCCTTGTTTGAAAGGTTCTATAGGGGAGCCTAACCCACTAAAGGAAAGCGCAGAAGGGCGTCGGGTATTACTACTATACGGGGAGGTGCATCCCAAGTTTAAGTTGAGGGGCTTGCAACTTTAGTGGGGGGTTGAATCGTGTGAGAGCTTGAAGGTATCTTTGAAGTTACACAGAAAAGGTGACAAGAGGCCCCGATCGTGGTTTGGCCTGACAAACTCGCCAGAAAACAGCCGAGATGCAGAAGAGACCTTCTCTTCTGGCTTGATGCGTGGAGGGTGCCGCCTACACATGGCCTCGATGGTTGCCGAGGTGACAGACATGGCACGATGGTAACTCGACACCTTCGAGCCGGATTACTGCAGTTGTGCAAGACAATCAAGGTCCAGCGTGTGTGTGTGTGTGTGTGCGCGCGCGCCCTTATGTCATGGGGTTTGGGCGGGTTAGGATCTCAAGCCCAGGTGGTAGAAGCATGCCAAGGCTGACGGAGCCTGCGCGAAGTCCGCAATATTGGCTGAGGCCTCACCTGTCCTGGTCGACATGTTGTCTGCCAAAGCTTCCCAAAACATCCATGGCACCTCTCCAAGCTGGGCTACCCACTGGCTGTCAGCAAGTTGCCTGCAAGCATGCGACACGGCCACGCTGCCATCGAGGCTTCAAGCACCTAAAGCCCTAAATCGCAAATCCCCCCAGCCTCAGAGAAGGGAGCATGTCATCCTTCTTCTTTTTCCTGGCCAATCATCCCAATTGGGGGTTTACCAAGGGGACCCCCAATATCGATCCCTACATAGTAGGATTCCCTTAATGATCAGGACCCCAAGAAGTAATCCCGAATTTAGGAAACCTCCAGAAACTAGCAATCAAAAGCCTCTTATTCTCCTGACCACAACTGGAAAGCACACATCCACCGCTCCCTCGTACTCTGAGCAGGGGAAGTCTCGATTCACTTCTAGATAGGGATGTAGGGAAGTAGGGGTACCTTACATCCCCAGCACAACCCTGCAAGTGATTGTATAGGGATCCTCATTCCCGAAACCCTAAACCCTAAACCCTAAACCCTAAACCCTAAACCCTTCATAAACCCCATAAACCCCCCAAGGAAAGCAGTAAGTCGAGTGCTGCTACCAGTGCGCAGCATGACTCAGACCCAGGCCCGGCTAAGACCTGCGAAACGGGGAAGAGAGTTTCGACATCACGGGGCGTATAGGGTTCTTAGGGTTTAGGGTTTCGGGCTTAGGGTGTAGGGTGTAGGGTTTAGGGTTGAGGGTTAAGGATTTGGGGTTCAGGTTTAAGATTTAGGGTTTAGGGCTTAGGGCTTAGGGCTCAGGGACCCTTATGCTTTGGGGGAAGGAGCAGCTTTTGTAGGGTTTGGGCTTTCGGGCTTTTGGGGCTTTTGAGGGTTTCCCAACAGCCTCAAACCTCAAACCATCAAACCCTAAAACCCTGAAACCCTCAAACCCCTAAACCCTAAACCCTAAACCCCAAAAAAATACCGTGCGAGGTTGAGGGTTCAGGGCTGCTTAGGGCTTCAGGCTGCTATTGGGATTTAGGGTTTAAGGTTTAGGGTTTGAGGTTCGGGGTTTAGGGTTTAGGGTTTAGGGCTTAGGGGTTTAGGGGTTAGGGTTTAGGGTTTAGGGTTTAGGGAAGTTGATGGTTCAGGGTGGAGGGTTCCTGGCAAGGTTTAGCTCCTCTTAGCCGTGCTTCTGGTGCCTTCTGCTGCTGCTTCTCGAAGAGCGGCAGGCGCCGTGGCATCTTCGCCCGCCTCCCCAGTCTCTGGGAGGAGGTTTGGAGTGAGGGGCTCTAGGCCTCAAAACCCTCAACCCTCAACCCTCAACCCTCAACCCTCAACCCTCAACCCTCAACCCTCAACCCTCAACCCTCAACCCTCAACCCTAAACCCTAAACCCTAACCAGGGTTTAGGCTTTGGGTTTTTAAGCTCCAAACCTTCAACAAACTTCAACAATATCAAGGCTTTGCCCTGCGTGGACAACAATCTCGCCCAGCCGATGGGCGTGTGCGGATTCGGGAGACTTGGGGGTTCAGAGATTTTAGGGGATTTGGGGATTCAGGGATTCTCGGGATTTGGAGATTTCGGGATTTGGGGGCATTGGGGAGATGACAAGGGTTCTGCTGGTTTGAAGGAAAAATGGGAGTGGGGGAGTTCTTGTGTTTGCGACTGGGGGGTTTAGGGAATTAGGGGATTTCCGAGGGTTTTTGGGCTTTTGGGATGCTGGGATTTATGGTTTTTGTTTGGGAATTTGGGGGTTTAGGGGATTCTGCGTGCCTTTGGGGGTGTGGGGGATTGCGGGGATTTGGGGGAGTTCGGAGCTTCATGGCATTCTTGGGATTTGGGGATTCGGGTTTTGGATGGTTTTGGTAACTTGGGGGTTTAAGTTTCGGGTTCAACCCCAAACCCTGAACCAGAGGATGTGGGGGATTCTGAGGACCCCCAAACAGTCACCCCTTTGGGACGCGGAGACATGCAAATCGCATAATATGGCCACCCCTAAACCCTAAACTCTGAACCCTGTCCGGTTGAACCCTGAACCCGAAACCCGGAACCCTGAGCATGGTGACTTCCGAAACAGGGTTGCCCCTTTTGGGTATGTAAGAGGCAACCCTGTTTGAGGAAATACGCGATCTTCACCAGTAGCTGAAGCCCAGCCACGAGATTTTCGGATCTTCGCCGGGTGGGACTTGTGCGATGGAATCGAGCTCGGGAGCAATGAAGACCTGGCTCTCGGCGGCTTTCGGGGCTGAGGGCGCTGGGTCCCTGAATCCTGAAGGAACCTCCACACTGATCCTACGTCCTGAACCCTGAACCGTAGCGACCCAAAGGTCTACGCCCTAAACCCTCAAGCCCTTAACCCTAAACCTACTAAACCGCTTGAATCCTAAACCCTGAACCCATGAACCATCTCAACCCTAAACCCGAAACCTCAAACCCTAACCCCCTACACCCGGCAGCCCCGAGTCAACGTGCGCTGCGCGCACCCCGGCCGTGCGGCCCTCGACCACCTTGAGCTCGTAGTCGGGTCCTTGGACTTCATGTGAAACTTAGGCGTGTAAGGGGATCCAGGGTTTAGGGTTTGGGTTTGAGGGTGGTAAGGTTCAATGGTTTACGGGTTCAGAGCTTAGCTAGGATGTGTTCTTCTCTTTTGTCGGGTCAGGGCTCAGGGGCTTTTAGGACCTTGAGCTTTCGGGTTTAGGCTTCGGGCGCAGACTCCAGGAAGTTCCATCTAAGCAGACGGCCGGGGTTGATCAGCACCTCTCTTTCGCCTGGCAGGGTACACGGTGGGTTTAGGGTTTAGGTTCAGGGTTTAGGGTTTAGGGTTCAGGGTTCAGGGTTCAGGGTTCAGGGTTTAGGGTTTAGGGTTTAGGGTTTAGGGTTTAGGGTTTAGGGTTTAGGGTTTAGGGTTTAGGGTGCAGGGAACTACGATCCGTTGGCCATATGCACACTCTGGCCGACTCGCTACTTCGATTGGAGCTGCGGATTGCCACAACGCACGCAGAGCACCTGGCCTTTTGCATGGCCGCGGCTGGTGTTCAAGGGAACCGTGTCAGTGATTCCTTAGCAGAGGTTCCCTACAAATAGAAACGAACTACACCCCAGCAGGGATCCAAGAAACATAAAGCAACCCTAAACCCCTAACAACCCAAACCCCGAAACCCCTAAACCTCTCAACAAACTGCAGCACCAACCTCAGACTGCCACAGGGATGACACTGGACTCGCAGAAAGCTTCGAAGCACCCAGGCCCGATCCGATCAAGTAGGTGCTGCCCCTGGACCGCACCATGACGTCCTCAAACCAACGCGTGTAGGGTTTAGGGGTTAGGGTTGTTTAGGGTTTAGGGTTTAGGGCTTAGGGTTTAGGGTTTAGGGTTTAGGGTTTAGGGCTTAGGGTTTAGGGTTTAGGGTTTAGGGCTTAGGGCTTAGGGCTTAGGGCTTAGGGTTTAGGGTTTAGGGTTTAGGGCTTAGGGTTTAGGGTTTAGGGCTTAGGGCTTAGGGCTTAGGGCTTAGGGTTTAGGGTTTAGGGTTTGGGGCTTAGGGTTTAGGGTTTAGGGTTTAGGGTTTAGGGTTTAGGGTTTAGGGTTTTTAGGGCCTCCTCCATTGGGGGCACCAAATTGGGACCCGAATTTACACACAACCCCACATGACCCCATGTGGTGGAGACGCAAACGACTTGCAGACGAGATTTGGTGGGAAATCGCAGTCCTCAAAGGCATCCATAAAGCTGTAGCCCGTGTACCCAGTTGAAAGTGGCACCTGCACGAGGAAGCTGCTCAAGGGACTCTATCTTGGACCTCTACCCTTGGGTTTCGGCCTTTTTCAAGAATCCCCTTAGGGAATGTAGAAGCCCTAACCCTAAACCCCAAACCCTAAACCCTATTCGTAGTGTGTTCAGGGAACCTTTTGAGGGGTTACCATCTTCGACGTGCGAGTTTCGCCTTCGGGGCTTAGGACTTCGGGACCTAGATGGATAAGCCGACCAGGAGCAAAAGACCCCAAACAGTAGTAAGCCACGGAACCCGAAATAGAACTTAGCCCCCCGCACCCCCACCCCACACCCACAATTCAAACAACAAACGGAACTCAATTCTCTGCCCCTCAACATAAGAGAAACTGTGGCAACAAAACAACGGGGCTGCGGGATTACGAATTCCGGGCCCCCTCCCAGAGAGATTGAACCAATCAAGGGGGATGGGCGGGGAGGGGGTTGCATTGATAGGAAGTCAGCATTCAGCCCCTTGAACATCCCCGAACTCAAAGCCCTAAACCCTCCAAACCGACGTGCCTCGTAGAGCTCGTTTCCGAGCCCGTTCTCGTAGTCAGCTGGCAGAGACAGACTGAGGAGGGTCCCATCTTGGGGGCTTCCTTCATCCGTCAACCTTTAGTAGGTCCTGGGGTAGGGTTGAGGGTTTCAGACCACTGGACGGAGTGGATGGCCGCTCCACGGATTGGGGTTTACGGTTTGCACATAGAATTTGGGGGGGGGGTTCGCAGATGCAAAAAACAGTAAGCGGCAAGTGGGAGAAGCGTGGCTGCTGCCTGTGTGGACATTCTTAGCAGGGCAGGCTTCGGCACTGAAACTTAAAATTTGCTGTTCAGGACATAAAGTTCAGGGTCCTGCACGCCAACAGAAGGCCCGAATGCTCCCAACGCCCAAACATCTGGAACTCTGCGGTTTAGGTTTAAGGCTTCGTCTGGGGCATTCTGCTTCAGGGGGCCAGTTCCCGCAGAGCCCAAGCAGCCCAAAGCCTGAAACCTCAGACGCGAATGTCTAGGCGGCGTACACAGCCAGTGTCGCCGGACTGTGTAC